GGCGAGACAGTTCATTCCTGCTTTGCTTTTCAATATGAGATCCCTTTGAGTGATCTTCTCTATGTTTGGGATATCTATTAGCATTTTTTGACGCCTACAACTAACACCTTAAAAATTTATTCCACAAATTATCTCAGTTCTAAATTTAAGTTCTAGATGACTACCCCCCTTAAAGCTCAGGTGTGTAGTGATATAATAGAAGTGATGTAAGTTATCTGCAACACCGCCGAAAGTTCAGGGGGTTTTTAGCATGACGTCCTACTTGGGAGATGACGCACCTCGCCATGTCAAGCGGAATCCATCACTCTGCACGTGCCTCCAACCGCTCGTCAAGTCATCATACATTACATCCCAACAACAACGATGCCCCCCGTAACGGCGAACTCAAGAAACACGCCCCCAACAAGATTCAAACAATTAATTGAAAACCCACCCAGAAAACTCTGAACTCACCTACAAACCGAAGAAACCAAATCCGAGATCCCTCTCCCTCGCCTACTCCTCAACCGCCCACCACCTGTTCGTCTAAATTCCCCACCCACCAAAAAGAAAAAACCCTTAGAATTTCCAACTTTATTAATGTCCAACGATAAAGAGGACCTCGTCCTCCTCCATGGCCGCGACCGTCGACCTCCAGACTCACGAAGCTCGCTGCGCTTCCGCCAAAACGACGGACGATCATCTAGCCGCACACCTCCGCCGCTGCTTCGCCGCCCCTGCCAGCGCACCCATCTCCTCCTCCGTCCCTCCGCCTCCCGCCCGCCCGTCGCCACCACCCCATCACAGCGACCCCTATCGTCACCGTATCCATCGCCGGCGCCACCGTCGCCCGCACCCGCGTCATCCCCAACTCCCAAAACCCTGTCTGGAACGAGCACTTCAATGTCCCCTTGGCCCACACAGCCTCCAGCCTCTTGTTCCATGTCAAAGACAATGACCTCTTCGGCGCCGAGCTCATCGGGACTGCCGAGATCCCTCTCTCGCAGATTGCTGCCGGCCCAATTGATCGGTTGTGGGTCCCGGTGATCTCACCCAAGACCGGCAAACCGCCGAAACCCGACTGCGCTCTCCTTGTTTCTCTCCGTTTCACACCGGTGCAGGATAACCCCGTGTACCGGAAGTTGAACGGAGGAGTACCAAATTGCTACTTTGAGCAGAGGAATGGGGGGATGGTGAAGCTTTATCAAGATGCGCATGTTAGAGAGGGGGAGTTGCCGGAGATTGAGCTGGAGAAGGGGAGGGTTTTTGAGCATGGGACTTGTTGGGAGGATATCTGCCATGCAATTCTGGAGGCGCATCATTTGATTTACCTTGTTGGGTGGTCGATTTATGATAAGGTTAGGCTCGTGAGGGAGCCCACGAGGGCTTTGCCTGAGGCGGGAAAGATGACGTTGGGGGATCTTTTGAAGTATAAGTCACAGGAGGGGGTTAGGGTTTGTATGCTTGTTTGGGATGATAAGACGTCACATGATAAGATGTTTATCAAGACGGTGAGTTGAAGTAGTTATTGATTCTTGGTGAAATAAGGTTTTTCCCCCTTCAATCTACCATTGATTGCAGGTAAGGGTAGAGAAAGGGGGAAAATTGGCAGTTATATAGATCAAATTTCATAGTCTATAGACTTCAGTGTAGGTTTTAATCAGAAATTTCTCAATAGGAAACCTTAAAAGATTGGTAAGATTCACTATGACACAATTACATCAATAACTGGTACCAAAATTTTGAGGTATAGTGGCATCTTTTAACACCATGGTTTCATAAAAACATTGCATGATGTCTATCAATACAGTCAGTTGAAGAAGTTCTTGATTGATGAAATCACAGGTTTTTTTGTCAATCTAATATAGGCGTGTCCTTGTGAATCTTACCAGTCAAGGACGGTGCGTATAGAATTTCTTGATTCCCTGTAAAACTGGTGTATTATTTGCTTAGTTTGAAGGTAGAATTGTGCGTTTTTTGTCAATGTAGAATGAATTGCATGCAAGGGTAGAGAAAGGGGGTTAGGGATGATAAGATTTCATGCGATAAGATGTGTATCAGGACAGTGAGTAGAAGTTCTTGATTCTTGGTGAAATTAGGGTTTTCTTGATATATCTAGTATGGATTCCAAGAAAGGGTGGAGAAAGGGGACAGCTTGGCGCTTACATAGATCAAATTCATAGTCCATAGACCCATCCTAGGTTTAAATTAGAAGATCCTCAACATGAAACCTTAAAAGATTTGTAAGATTCACTATAACACAATTGCATCAATAACTGATGCCAAATTGTTGAGGCATCGCAGCATCTTTTAGCACCAAGATTTCCTAAAAACATCACATTATAAGAGTGTATCAGGACGGTGAGTGTAAGAGTTGCTTCATTCTTGGTGAGATTAGGGCTTTTTTTTATCAAAATGAAAATCATGCATTTTAGTTAGATAAGATTTCATGGTCTATAGAGTTCAATTTAGGTTTTAATTAGGAGATCCTCAACAAAAAACCTAAAAAGGTAGTAATTCACCATGATACAATTGTAAACCATTATAAAGCCACACTAGCATCTGCGTTTGTTTAAATTTTTACTAGCAATTCTATCGCGAATCGACCACATGGATGATGAAAGAACTAATTATTCAGGATAAATAGCATATTCTGTTGAGCAATGAAAGGGGTGTCATTTTACAATCCAGTAGAACTTCGTCATGTGGTTTAGATGTGTAGACATGCGAAATAGTATCGATCAAATTGCACTGTTTTTCATGGTTATCACTTTTGCACAATGAAGTTCGGTTCATCATATGGAGCTGAGACAAAATTAACTGTTAAATAGGTGATGACTCTAGGTCATAGGCCTCAGGTCTTCAGTGTATAAACCCCTTTCAATTTTAATCACTGCTTGCATGTATATGTGATTGATGTTATGACTTTAGGAACTGCAAAATGTGATGTTAGCCACATAGTAATCATTTAAGGACCATTATGTAACACATTTGTCGTCCCTCTGATAGCCAAGCTAGCAACTTATTGTAATACTTTGCTTTATACAATTTTATTATTCTTCACAATCATTGCATTCTTTTATTTTTGGTCAGTTCCATTTTACTAAATTGATTGTTATATTCGAACTAAGTGTTTTTTCTTGTGTGTGCAGGAGGGTGTTATGGCAACTCATGATGAAGAAACCCGGAAATTTTTCAAGCATTCTTCAGTCATTTGTGTTCTGTCACCTCGTTATGCCAGTAATAAGCTCAGCATTTTCAAGCAGAGGGTTTGCACCATGAAATCCTTTAAGTTTGCTAGGATATACTTTATAAGTATCCAACCGCCTTTTTTCCAACTTAGTTGTCCATCTTAGTTCAACACTCTTCTTGCTATGTCCTCCATTCATAAAATGAAAACGAGAATGAAATCATGTATAATGGTCCTCACAGTTTGTTTCCTGTGCACACACCAACTTATTAGTCTGTGTACCATTTTATTTTGATCTGTACTTGGTGATCCATTATTTATTATTACCATATGTTCACTTCAAAATTCTCATGTTTGTCCTGCTGATCTATCAAAATCCTTCTTTGTCCAACACACACTTATCCTAATTATCTTTTCTATGGTAGGAGGCCGTTTTAACTTATAAATCCCTTGACCACTGGAACTTACTGATTTCCTTAGAGTACTACTTAATATTCTGTATCTAATTTCATTTTCAATTATATGGATTACTATATAGTCAACATTACTGGCCATGATTTTCTTAAGAATTTTGTTTAGTATGTGGGAAATGCCATTGTTTCTATGTGGTAGGAAATAATTTGTCCTGCATCATGTATGTGGGCAAGAGAGTTCTATTTTTTTTCTTTTTTCTTTTTGGGGTTTGGGGGAGGGGGGTCAATTAACTGATATGTATTTTTTCTGTTTCCTGGTAACTTTGCTAATGAACACTACATTCTTGCTTTTGATCCTTCAGGTTGTGGGAACCCTATTTACACACCATCAGAAATGTGTCCTGGTCGACACACAAGCTTATCGAAATAACAGAAAAATTACAGCTTTTATTGGGGGCCTTGATCTTTGTGATGGACGTTATGACACACCAGAGCATAGACTTTTTTCTGATCTAGACACTGTATTTGCAAATGATTTTCATAATCCTACATTTGCTGTAAGTACATTATCTCCTTTATCATTATATTTGAAATAAATATTGATATTATATTTCATGTCTTAAATTATTCCTTATTCTTTTCCCCATTTTACTATTATGTTTTACAAGGTGTTCTTATTATATTTCATTTCTGAAAGTTGTTCTGAACTAAATGAACATGTAACAAGATAAGCTTAATGAAGTTACCTGTGTTCCTAAACTAGGTTAACAATCTCATCAAATAATAGTTATGACATGCTAAACATGTAGATTTACTGTTTGCTGTCTGCCTTCTTCTAACCTATGATACAGGAGAATGGGTATTAACATTTTTCGAAAAATGAATAAAATCTGGTCAAGGTGATCTTATGTGATATATTAGTTGGTGAAATTACTGCAAAGTCAAAACTATCATGAAACTTTCACCTCATAATGCAACCTGCAGATGAAATGTTAAAGAGTAAAATCACATCCTCATAATGTGTTGAGCTTGACATGATATGACAGTTGGAAGGCTTCAATTTGTGGACATGCTTTTGATTGAGATGTGTTGAGCTGGTGTTAAAGAGATCTCTCAAGCATATTGATTTCCTGCTCAGAGATTGGTGATAAGATTTGGTGAGCAAATTTATAGGTATTTGATTTAGTTGGACTGGAGTTGAACTAGGCGAGACGGCCAACATCAGTCTAGGTAGGATGGAGTGTGTGGAAATCTAGGTTACCCAAACACTTCATCTTAGCTCCCCTATCCGTGTCCGAGACTTTCCATATCAATGTCTATGTCCGACACTCCTTAGATACTTCTTGAATATATGAATACTTTTGTCCAAACATGTACTCAATTATATAACACATGCTTTAGTTTAAATAACTCGTGACACACTTCTTGGACGTATATTGTACACTTAACCTTAAATTTATGCAACTCATAGGACTCAGGACGTGTTTGTTTTAGCCCATACCTAGTTCATAAGTTATGATTTTAAAGGATTGTTTGGGTATCTAGTTAAAAACGAGCAGTTTTTCAATTTACAATCTACTCGATAAAAGAAACATCAAAATGGTATAGCGATTTTATTTCTCATAACATGTGAATGAAAAACAATATCGATCTCATGTAGGTTATTAATTTTACTATGTCTCTATATTATCGTGTCCCTATATCCCACCTCTTATAAATTTGTCATGTCCCATATTCGCGTTCATGTTCGTATCCACAGATTCTACACCCCCACTCGTGTCCGTATACGTGCAACATAGGCAGAAAGACTAAGGATTGACGAAAGCAGATCAGGAGGAAGGATGAGAAAGAGCAGAGAGGAGGGAGAGAGGGGGAGCGACGAAAGTGGATCAGGAGGGAGGGGGAGGGAGGGTTTTTATTTCTCATAACATGTGAATGAAAAATAAAATCGATCTCATATAGGTTATTAATTTTGATATATATCTATATAGTCGTGACCCTGTACCTACCTTTTATAAATTTGTCGTGTCCCGTTTCCACACCCGCACTTTGTGTCCGTATATGTGGAACATATGTAGAAAGACTACGGATTGATGAGAGTAGATCAGGAGGGAGGATGAGGGAGGGAGGGGTGATAAAAGTAGATTAGGAGGGAGGGAGGGATTTTAGTTCTCATAACATGTGAATCAAAAGCAATATCGATCTCGTGTAGGTTATAAATTTTAATATATATCTATATAGTTGTTTCCCCCTATCCTACCCTTTATAAATTTTTCATGTCCAGTATCCGCACTCGTGTCTGTATACGTGCAATGTAAATGGAAAGACTAGGGATTGATGAAAGTTGATCACATCCGTGTCTATATCTACGCAACATAGGTGGAAAGACTAAGGATTGATGAAAGCTGATCAAGGAGGAGGATGAGAGAGAAAAAGATGGAGGGAGGAGGGAGGGGAGGAAGGGAGGGAGTACAAAAAGAAGATTGGATCAAGAGAAGCAGTTGAGACTTGAGAATTACAGTTTCCTTTAATTCTAGTGTGGTACCATTATAGGAATAAAAATGTTTAGGGTACTTCTCTCTATTTCACATAGTTCATGTTATTTCAGTGTGGAAATGGTGAAAATTTATAATAGTTTCATTGATTTAGCCTATGCCAATTTCCATATAAACTCATTATTATAGGTGTTATCATGCTTACGAAAACAGTGGGATGTAGAAGTTCAAAAGACGGAACCCAAGGCTTCTAGTAGCAATGGGGACCCCGTATACCACTTAGAGCATCTTATGGTTTTAGTTTCACTAGGTAAAATGGGGGAATTCACGGTTCCCAAAGACTAGGAACACAACTGATTTGTGCTCCCCTAGATGGCCACTCTAATTTGCCTCTCTAGTTTCTTCACTTCAAATGAAAATGTTTTGAAACCTAAAACACTATTTCAAAACTTCATAGGAAACTTGACTATAATAAAGAGCAATGAACTCCCTAAACAGCCAGCATAGGGAAGGAAGAAAAAGGATGGGACTCCCAATCGGGTAAGCAAAAAATTATGCAATGGTCTTGGTAAAGGAAAAGAAAAAATATCTTAAAACTGTGTGAACATGATTTGGAGATAATGGTACTATCTTTTGCTGTTTATTTTACCATGTTTAATGACTTTATTTAAAGTTGTAAGTGACCTCTTTGTTTCTAATGTCCAATTGTTAGACATTAGCCTTTATACGTCGTTCAGTTGTGGATCTTTCCTTTCTTATCAGCATTTTGATTCTTTCTTCTTTTGTTTGTGTAGACAGAAACTAAAGGTCCAAGGCAACCCTGGCATGATTTACACTGCAAGATTGAAGGCCCTGCTGCATATGATATACTTACAAATTTTGAGCAGCGATGGCGGAAAGCGACCAAGTGGAGGGAGTTGGGTTGGTGGTTTAAAAAACCATCTCACTGGCATGATGATGCCCTACTAAAACTAGAGCGTATCTCTTGGATAATTAGTCCTAAACCTGGTGTGCCTGTTAATCACCCAAGCTTACGGGTGACTGAGGAAGGGGATATAGAAAACTGGCATGTGCAGGTTATATAACAAAGGACTTTTCACTATGTTCTTTTAGATTTTTACTTAAAACTTCTTTCATTTACATGGTTTTCTTAACCTTTTCAGGTTTTCCGTTCTATTGATTCTGGATCAGCAAAAGGTGAAGGATTTTCCAAAATGCTTTCTGATGCTGAGAAACATGCACGAATAGGGAAAGCAAGAAGACTTGCAAGACTGGTTGAAGAAGCCCACAAAAGAGTTCGTTAATATAATTCATCATAGAAATTATTTTAGTCTATACTTGATCTTTTTTTCGTTTTTTTGTTTTTTTTTGTGACTGATTCACTCTCTTCTTTTCTTGTCATGTTCTTGCTTAGCTTTGTATGTTTTTTTGGGGGGGTGGGGTTGGGGGGGTTGGGGGGGTGTTGATCCTTCTATTCTGATTTTGATTGACTCACATTTTGATTTTGTTATCTTTGCTTTAATAACGCAGAACCTTGTCTGTCAAAAGAATTTGGTGGTTGACAAGAGCATCCATACAGCATATGTTAAGGCAATCAGATCTGCTCAGCACTTCATATATATTGAAAATCAGTATTTTCTTGGTTCTTCTTACAATTGGCCGGACTACAACAATTCAGGTTTCAATTAGTGTTCCATCTTGTATTATATATCCATCTTATGTTATATAACTTCCATTTTGTACATGTTAAAGTTTGGAGAGAAAAGAGATTATTGGAGAGTTATCCTCTCACTCTATACTTTATGTGTAGAGATGGATTAGTTACAAGTTAGTCTTACAAGAAATGTGGGACTAAACTAATACTTTCTTCATCTAACACTCCCCCTCAAGGTAGAGCATATATATCATGCATGCCCAGCTTGTCACAAATAAAGTCAACCCGTGTTCGACCAAGTGATTTTGTAAGAACGTTTGCCAACTGATCTACTGTCGATACATGTTTTGCCGTGATGATTTTATCATTGAGCTTCTTACGGATTACATGACAGTCAACTTTAATGTGCTTGGTTCTTTCATAAAACACGGGATTCTCAGCAATGTGAATTGCTGCTTTATTGTCGTCATATAGATCCATGGGACATTCTGGAGGGAGACCAATTTTTATTAATAGGTTTCTGATCCAAACCATCTCTAGTGTCACATTTGTCATAGCTCTGTATTCTGATTCTGCACTGGATCGATATATAACACTTTGCTTCTTACTTTTTCATAACACTAGATTTCCTCTAAGAAAGACACAATATCCAGTAGTTGATATCCTATCAAAAGGACATTCAGCCCAATCTGCATCCAAGTAGAGAATTCCTCATCCTAGAGCCTTCTTCAAGTACTGATTGCTAAGACTCATTTGTCATAACTCTGGTGTATCCTTAATCTGAGTAGAGAATTCCTCATCCTAGAGCCTTCTTCAAGTACCTTAAAATTCTCATTACCGCATCCAAGTGAGTAGTTTTTGGTGCGGATGAGAACTGACTCACAATACTGACTGCGAATGTGATGTCAGGTCTGATCACCGTCAGATAATTCAGTTTTCCAACCAATCTTCTATATTATCCAATATCTTCAAGAATCTCCCCCTGATCTGGTAGTAGTTTCGAGTTTACATCCATTGAAGAAGCACTGCTTCTGCATCCTAACATTCCAGTTTCTAAAAGCATATTTAGGACGTACTTTATTTATGACAGAAGAATACCCTTCGTTGACTTTGCGACTTTATTGCCTAGGAAGTATTTTAGGGAACCAATATCTTTGGTTTAGAAATGTGTCTGTAAATGTTTCTTCAGGTTGTCAATACCACAAGCATCATCCCCTGTAATTACAATGTCATCCACATAGATAACAAGCAGAATTCGTTTCTCATTCTAAAATCGTCAGAAGACAGTGATCTTTCTGTGCACGACTGAACCCAAATTCCTGAATAACCAATGCAAAACGTCCAAACCAGGCTCTATCATAAAGTGATTTCTTCAGCCTACACACCCTCGCCTTCTCCCCCTAAGCAATAAAACCTGGTGGTTGCTCCATGTAAATCTTCTCATTTAGAATACCATTAAGAAATACATTCTTGATGTCCAACTGATGAAGTGGCCAGTGATTTGTCACTGCTAATGAGATTAAAATTCGAACAGAAGTCATTTTTGTCACTGGAGAGAAGGTATCTAAGTAATCTAAGCCATACACCTGCGAATAGCCTTAGCAATCAGTCGGGTTTTCAGGCGTGCTAAAGTTCCATCAGGATTTAATTTGACAGTGTACACCCATTTGCAGCCGACGTGCCGCTTTCCTAGTGGAAGTGGGACCAAATCTCAAGTCTTATTCTGTCGCAAGGCCCTCAATACGTCTTGATCGCTTGGTTCCAACCTGGAATAGACAGGGCTTCTGACACATTTTTGAGAACCAAATATGAGTCGAGGGAAGTAACAAAAGATCGAAAGGTGGAGGAGATGCGATCATAAGAGATAAAGTTAGAAATAGGATGTTGAGTACAATTTTGTGTCCCTTTTTGAAGTGCAATAGGAAGGTCTTCCGCAGAAGAGGGTAAATTTGCACTTACTGATTCTAGTTCTTCTGGCAGAAGACGTGGTCTTGAGGCCGACGTTGGCTTAGGAGCAGGAGCAGAGCGACGATGATAAACTTGAATTGGGTCGTTAAACCGAGCGGAATCTTTGCCAGTAGCGTAAATAGTATTATCAGTGGATGAATCACCATCGTTAACCAATGACTCTTGTAGGATTAAATAGTCATACTCATCCGATGATAATGGAGTTGGAAAACTAGAATAACTAGGTTTGTCTTCAAAGAATGTTACATCAGCAGATAACACAGACGATTGAGTGATGGACAGAAACACTTGTAATCTTTATGTTTTCGGGAGTAACCAAGAAAAATGCCTTTAATAGACCGAGAGTCAAACTTTTGTTTGTTTGGACTGTGATTATGAAAAAAGCACAGAGAGCTAAAATTTTTTGGAGGAAACGAAAAGAGATCATCGTTGGGGTAAAGAACTTTTAAAAAAAAATTATCTTGCAGAACAGAAGAGGGTATTCGATTAATCAAGTAACATGCTGTTAGGATAGCTTCCCCCTAAAACTCTTTGGGAACATGATGATAAAATAGCAAGGTTCGAGCAATATCAAAGAGATGTCTATTCTTTCGTTTAGCAACTTTATTTTGTTGAGGAGTGTAAACACAAGAAAACTGATGGAGAATTTTATGTTATTCAAAGAAACTAGTAAAGTTGCCATCTAAATCTTCCTTTGCATTATCAGATCGAAATTTTTTTATCGAAGTCTTGAATTGATTGACTATTTCAGAATAAAAGAGTTAATATGTAGAAAAGACTTCAGACCTAGACTTGAGAAGATAAATCCAAGTAACACGAGAGTGATCATCCACAAAACTGACAAAATACCGGAATCCCAATTTAGATGTTATTGGGCATTAACCCCCAGACATCAGAATGAACAAGATCAAATGGCTTTGCAGTCCTCTTATTGACTCGATTAGGATAAGATACACGATGGTGTTTGTCAAGTTGACACGACTCACACTCTAAAGAGGAAAGAGATTTGAATTGGGGATTTAGAAGCTTGAGAACAGAGAGAAGGGGATGTCCTAGCTGACAATGGTATTGTAGAGCTGATGAGTTTCCAATACAAGCTAAATGTTCGACGCCCAAGTTCAGTGTATAATGGTCGTTCTGCTCATGTCCTGTCCTAATCGTTTTTCTCGTGACCAGATCCTGAAAGACAATGTGTGAGGAAGAATGCCACAGTACAATTTAGTAATTTAGTAATCTTACTAACAGATAAAAGGTTATAGGGAAAACTAGGAAGATAAAATACGGAGAAAAGGGGAAGACTAGGTGTAGGATTGTTGTTGCCGACACCCTGAACAGGTGTACGTGAACCATCAGCTAATATAACTGAATTAGATGTAGGAGAGAAAGAGGACAGGATACATTGATTCCTAGTCATGATCAGTGACACCTGTATCTATAATCCAAATATAAGACGAAGACGATGTAAGTAAAGATAAAGAGGTACCTGCACTTTTGAGAGTAGTGGATAAAGAGGAGGATGATGATTGTGAACTTTGATACTGCTGAATAATTAAAATTGCTGAAATTAACGCTGCAGTTCCGCATCCTGAAAGACTGAATGTAGTTGAATTTCACTATCATATGAGATGAAGTTGTCCTGAGCGGCCATGTAAGCACTCTTGGCCTTCTTCTTTTCCAATTTAGGATAATTATATTTGAGATGTCCTGATTGGTGATATTAGTTACAAGTTTTCATTGAGTCATCGCTATTAGTATGTCTGCCTTGAGATGGATCTCTACGGCCACCTCGTTGATCACCTCGGCCCCCAGAACGACCAATGTAGTAACCTCCTCTCCCTTCAAAGTTGCCTCTACCTCTTTCAGGACCACTAGTATGACCCTCTCGTCCATAAGACTGCTAACTCTGAATGGCAAGCGCAGAGCGATCCGTGGTGGATGTAAGTGGCTGTGCAGGGACAACGTTTTTCAAAAAGTGATAAGTCTCAGTCAGAGAACCAATGATGAAACTCCCCATAATTTTTTGTCGAGCAGAGGAGTAAATACAGGGCCGGTTCTGAGATTTTAGGGACCCTGTGCGAAAAGTAAACATAGACCCTTGAATATTACCTAAATATCAATAATTTCCAATTCGAATCCTTCCCTTGAATATTACCTAAATATCAATAATTTCCAATTCGAATCCTTAAAATGCTAGCAAACAAAATATTACTGATCAGACATTAAAATATTACCTGTATTTCCAATTCGAATCCTTAAAATGCTAGCAAACAAAATATTACTGATCAGACATTAAAATATTACCTGTTTTTTTTTTACATCTGGATAGTCTTTAACATACTTTTCAAGTGCTATTGCCCATCTCTTCAATCACCTGAATAAAATGTTACTGATCAGATAAATGCATGTAATCTCATCTTAATAAAGCTTTCCAATAGAGTAAATAGTCCACAATAAGAAATACCAAATATTATGTTCCTTTTGTATCTGTGCTTACCTTCATAAGAGATATCGAAGCCTTTAGCATCAAAAAGTATCATCGAAAAATTGTCCTCCTTGCATTTTTAGCTGCAAAATCACTAATTAAGCCTTTAACATCAATTTTATCTAAAAATTATTTTCAATGGATATCAAAGCTAGTCCATTTAATCTTTCTTGTGACATGGTCGATCTCAGATAAGATTTTAATAATTTTAATTTTAAAAAACTTCTTTCTGCGGATGCGACTGTAACATGTATAGTCAATAATATTCTATAAGCAATACATGCATTTGAAAAATAATTTCGTATTTTTAAAAAATTCAGTATATCTATAGCCATCTTTATTTCTTTTGGTAAAATATTTCGTAAGATTTTTAGTTCTCCAAATAAATCTTTCCCATCAAGATTAGAATTTACTTTATATTTTAGAACAATTTCAAGATTATCACAACATGCTTTCAAATTTTTATCATCTAATGAATTTAACTTTTCTGAACCAAACAAAAATCCAAAAATATCTTCATATGCTTTATATTGCTCAAACATTTTCTTTAGTGAACCAATAGCTTGATCTACAA